TTTAGCTGATCTTTCCTTGAAGGTTTGGGTGACTGCATCTGTTTTCATCTCTTATATTTGTCCCTTTCAGTCTCTGCTTATTAGAAAGCACTTTGTGCAGCCTTACTGATTTTCTGATATCCCCATTTTTTCCCCTTTCTGATTGACCTTGAAGAAGATCTTGAAAACGGCTTTGTTGATCTTGAAGAATCAGATTCAGCTGGTACTTGGATGTGAAATGCCAAAGTTGTAGACTAGACTAGGAATTTGGGGAAAAGCCATATTTTCCCCAAGTTAATTACATGGGCATATCTAATTTTTTAATGTTATATTCAGTTCTGGATGAAAAAGCTAAATAACCTTATGGTCATTAACACTGACATGTTAAATCATAATTAATACTGACCTTTCTATCAGTGTTAAATTTCTATTTTTCTATTTTCAGTGGTCTAAGTTATCTAAACATTAGAGTGTTAAGAATTTTTAATCAACACTGTACAAATACCACTGTATAAAAATAACACATTGAGTACATTTCAGAACAATATATTATATGAATATATTAAAAATGAAAAAAAAACCTATGTAGACAACAGAGTCAAGTTTGACTTGATAAAGGCTTTATCTTTATCATTTTTTCTTTTCTTGGTGTAATGCAGTGTTTCCCAAACTTGACAATTTTAAGGCACGTGGACTTCAACTCCCAGAATTCCACAGCATTGCTGGCTGTGGAATTCTGGGAGTTAAAGTCCACATGCCTTAAAATTGTCAAGTTTGGGAAACACTGGTGTAATGGTATGCCTAGAGCCAGGGAGAGATTTACATTCTAACCATCTGAATGTTTCTCCTATATCAGCCAAGATAATGGCTTCCTTACTAGTCCACATAGGAGGCATGAGGAAGAGACTGAAGGAGCCACTACCTTAGGAGTCTGGGAATTAAATTATTTTTCAAGGTAAAATCTTTTCCTAAGATTGTCGTCATGCCCTATCTTCTTTCAATCAGCCTTCAAAGTCCTGGAAGAATCTTGCTTTTAAAGAGGTGAAGTGGAGAACTTTATAGTTGGGCTAGTTTGTAATGCTTAGCTCCCAAACATTTGTTGTAGCATTCCAATACAACATATGACTATACTGGACTACTGGAGGAACTTGCCTGCTTAATAGAAAGTAGCTTCTGAAGTTGTTGTCCATGGTGTTATTCAGTCCTGGGTCTGCTTCTACTGTTTCATTTGGACCATTAACCTTAGGAGTCTTTGACTGGATGACAGTGATTACTCTTTAGTTTTCAGTAACACTTACACCATGTTAAGAAAGAATCTGATGGAATTGAAAAGGTTCTGCATTGTACACACCCTGTCACCAGTTAGTGAAAGAAAATGAGCAGAGGGAAGTTAACAACCAGGTACAAGAAGCTGAGATCAAGCCAATAATCAGGATTGAAAAAAAATCAGTAATTGGAGTAATCAGAGCTGAAGAACAGGACTGATATGAGTTTTAAAAAAACACATTAAAAAGATATTCAAAATAGAACTGGAGATCCAAAATACAAATTACATTTCATTTTCACAGCTCTTGGTATCAAATTCCAAAGTGACAATATCACTTTTCCCCAATACTTCTGCCAATATTCACTGTCAACCAATTCTTCCCTAATGGTCACATTTCGAGAGGACAATAGTTCTTCTTGACCCTTCTTCCACCTTCTGAGAGATAGACTTGACAGCAAGACAAATCAAAACATTTATTGGATGTTCCATTTTTAGTTGAATTAGACCTCTAGCAGATGTCAAAGTAGTTGGGGGAAAAAATTACTGCTGTAGCGTGCTTGTATAAATGTTTCATCATTTGTTCCAGGATAATGCTTTCTAGTCAGCCTCTGCAATATCATTAATATTTCTTCCTTTTCTTGTTGTTTTACTCAAAAATTTCAACAGGTTTTTCATCGTCAGAATTGTGGATTTGTTTGCACATGTATGCACTGTTTTCCATTTAATGCTAATTTCCTTCTTTTTCTGTCTGGACTATTTTTTTTTTAAAATGTATTAATGGCTATTTTTCATTATTTTATCATTAAGCCTAATGGTAAATTGGAGGTCTAAAAGCTAGACATTTAACATTATCTAAATCTATCTAATAAGCCTTGTGGAAAAGATATACCTCAAGAGAGCTTATAGAGGGTGTCAAATTCTAGAAAGACAGAAGAAGATGTAAGTAAGATGCTAGCACTATTTTATGGATTTGATGATCTTTGCAAGGAGCAGTTGGCTGCAGCAATTGACAGATTTGATCTCTAATGGCCTCTTTCGCTATTTGAAATGTCCCTAATGTGCAGATGATTTAAAATATGCCTTACGCTAGATCAGGGGTAGGCAGCCTTGGCTCTTTTATGACTCGTGGACTTCAGCTCCCAGGAATTCTGGGAGCTGAAGTCCACGAGTCATAAAAGAGCCAAGGTTGCCTACCCCTGTGCTAGAGTCTGTTAAATCTGATCAAGCTTGCCAAGTAGTCCATTTTCATGGTGATGAAATAAATGTTATCTCTCATTAATAAAAACATAGGAGCCCAAATTTGTTATCTTGGGTGATGGAATGGACCAAACAGAGGTGTTATGCCAAAGTGGAATATCTACATTTTGTTGGAATGAATCAATCAATAAATGAATGAATTTATGCATTATTATGGGGGGGGTCAGTCAGCAAAATACAGTTGGCCTTAATGAGGACAAATGTTATTTGGGTCAGTTCCTAAAAGCTGACTGAATATGGAGTAGCAGAAAAAAGGGTGCTGTATCCAGATGAGAAATCTTTTCTTGACCCTTTTCACTTTAGCCATTTTGCCAATGATTTGCATCGAGGAACTTGGCAGAGAGTCTTCCTTCTCAATACTTTTTGACCTTCCCATGGCTTTTATGTAACAAATAATTTAATCCTGTTAGCCTGGTTGAACAGCTTGCAGGGGTTAGATCTGTCTACTGAGTGATTCCATTTTCTAACCAGAATGAAGTGAATGGGTCATCACTGGTAATTCTAGCTTGGCCCTCTGGCAGTTGACGTATGGTATTCCGCAAGGCTTTTATCACAGAGACTGCTATCCTCTATAATCTATAGAAGCTGCTGACAGAAATCATGGAGAGCTTTGCTGATGGGCATCATAAATAAGCCAATGCTGTTTCCCTCAAGTTCTATATTTCATTAGCTAAGCATCAAAGACCAATTTTCTTATTTCTAAACCAGTGTACTGAGACTGCGATTAAATGAATGAGCTGAAATATAATCTAAACAAGGTGGAAATAAAGCTGATAAGAAGACCTAGTACTATACAGAGCAGGTCATCCTGCCTTTGACAGATGAGTCAATAAACCTTATGTCTGCTCCAAGAATTGAGAGATACTACTGGAACCTGCTTTATGCTTAGAAAAACAGTTATACTACACATATGAAAGCCAGAGGCAAGAAATCTTTCCGTGTTTTGACCCTGTATCCAGAATCTTGAGAATGATCATACTGTGCTTTACACAGGATTGACTTGAAGATGATGACAAGAAGATGATATAGACAGAAGGCTAATAGCTAACACATTTAATCACTTCTACCCTGCACTTTTTGGAAATTCTGGGATGGGATCCAGTTTCTATGGATATTGTTCCACTTAGGGTACCAACAAAATTAGGAATTGAATATGCCAGAAATTGATTATTTCTTTGATTCTGAACTCTTCTCAATTAAGACCATAAAGGAGATAACAAGGTTAAAACTGAAGTTCAGTCACAATGATGAAGTGCTGTTTAGAGACCAAATTATTATCAGCTTATCCTATTTGGAAAGGATCACCACTATAGCCTGAATCTGCTGGTCTAACTGTTTTTATAGATGTCCTCCCTATCTAGTTATCTTCCAAAGAGCTTTTCTTCTTTCACTGCTGATAGTTACCCATTAATCTGAAAATTAGAATAGAACAGTAGATTGCGGAAACCTAGTCTGAACAATTTGGGACCCATTGCATGTTTTATTCAGTTAGAAAATCATGCCAAGTTGCTTCTTCAAAAGAGGTTGAAACTGCTGAATACCTATTATAATTACCGTACATGTTTATTTATGTATTAGATACATAAAAGAGTTCAACACTTTCTCTTCCTTTCTTTCTCAAGATGAACTCTGTGAGATAGATTGGGCTGAGAATAAATAACTTGTCCAAAGTCGCCTAATGAGGTTCTGTAATTGAATATAGACTAAGTGTTCTTACTTGTTATCCAGCACTTTCACCACTACTCCACACTGGGTGTCCAAGTTTGAGTTGTCGACCATGATTGCTTTTGATGAGAAACAGGTAAGAAACATGTGTTCCACTGCTATTTATATTGTGATGAGTTTTTTTTTTAAAAAAAAACTTTAAAAGAAAATGAGAACCTGCTTTTCAATTAATATATCTCATACATTTCCTGAATTTATATTTGTCATATTCATGTACCTCACAGATAAACCAGAAGAAAAATCTGTGATGAAATCCATATATGAAGGCGGTGGTAGTTGTTTTTCGAATAACATGGTGTGATGGTTAAGTTTAAGACTTAAAAACCAGGGGAAAAAACCTGGGTTTTAGTCCACTCTTAGTTGGATCATCGTCAGCTCGGCTCATTGGCTGATCTGGGGCCAGACACTCAGTTCAACCTATTTCACAGTGGTGTTATTGTTGTAGGGAGGAGGAAATGGAAAGAGGAAATGTTGTGCATGCAACGTTTAATTGTTAGAACAAAAGGTGAGATATAAATCTAACATAAACACACATATATACATCATCTGGATTGAAGTGTCCCAGACTGAGATACAGGGTCAGTCCTTTCAAACTTTTAATTCCTTTGATTAATTCTGTTATGTGTTACAGGGCAGTCAGCCATACACCCTTACTCATTTGCCTATGTGTATTTGATTAAGCAGGAGGGAATCAATCTGTTTGCTAGTGCAGAATTTAGGAGTGCAGCATTTAGTAGAAAAGCTATTGTTCATTTATTTCAAATGGATTTACCTGACCATAGTTCCAGCTCCTCGATCTTATATTGTCAGGGTCCCCATAGAAAATAACCCCAAGGTCATTCAGGACATACTCTTCCCTTTCTTCTTCTTCATCCATATACACTGCATCCTCTGCATCAGAATTTTTGTTTATAAAAACAGGTTAATACATGTATTTTTCTAGGAGTAAATATCAGAATTTAATTCAGCTGAATGATATAAGAAAAGGCAGCCTTTTGTTCATCTATCACAACACATAATATATTTCGTCTTCACATCATTCTCTGAAACTGGAAATGAAGCATGCTCCAAATTAGAAAGAAAAAAAGAAAAAAAGAAGGATCACAACTCTCAACTATTTTGAGCAAGATCTGTAAAGCGTGATTAAATTGTCACCTCTTATCAGGCACTTTATGATTCTGTGTTATTAAGCTGAAATGTCTGAGAGCTGTGAAAGCATTAAGCACCCACACCACAGATCAAAGAATTACTCTGAAACTTCGTAACTGTAATTGTGAGCAATTCCACATCAGAAGATTTAAAGGATTAACCTGTGTAGGAAGAGTGGCACATTGTGACGGGCATGAACATGGTCCCTTTTTATACAGAATATAAACTTTTAAATAGCCACTTGGTTCATGTGATGATTGAGACACAAGGAGGAACATTTTATGATAGACAGTTCTTTCTGGTTTAGGCTGGAGATGCTGGAGAACCCCACTAGAGCTGAATTTTTAATGAATTAACCCAATTCACATTACCTAAATTACATTTTTGGATTTTGTGGGGAATATCTTAGCTCAAAAAATCTATATAAAAATATTAAGGAAAGGACTCTACATTAAGTAAATGATTGCTAGAACCTGCCTGATCAGCAGATCCAAAATTTCTGGTTTTGACATTTCGGAATATCATGAGCTAGACATGAAGCATGTCTACAAACGAAGTGCTGACCAGTAATTCCATCAGGTTTGGCCAAAAACAGCATATGTCCTTCTGAGAATATTAAAAAATATTGGCCTGAATACATTCCAAAATCAGGCATCTTAGGTTTCATTTGAAAAAGTGATAATACACAGATCATTCCCACATATCAGTTGGTTGTTTTTTTTTTAAACGATGGGTGCTTAAATATATAAAGCAAGGCAGTCTTTCAAAGAATGGCAGGATACATATACAAATAAAAATATATTGGCAATCCATTACATGGTTGAATGGAAATTCCAGCACAGTCCTGAGGAAACTGTCACTTGTTACAGGTACATCACAGCGATGGAGGGAAATGTTAAACTTTCCCTCCGCAATGCTCTTTCTATCCTTGTCTTCTTTTTACTTGAAAAGTTTAGATGTGATGCATTGGGAATCATAATCTGTTTGCTCTTGTCAAAAGAAGGATTCAATAAGGCCAGGAGATTGTGGCCTGTGTCTCTGATTATCTTTTTTCTCATTAATTATATTATATTTACCTGAAAGGAAGATTAGAGTTTCCTCAATAACGTCTACTCCAGTATGATGAATAGAGGCACCTCTCAGGTGGGGAAAATGTCTTAAATTCAGATTGTGAGGTTATCTTCCTTTTAGGTAATATTCTATTTACAGTATATTTCATTTCTACATCCATCTATTTAAATGCAAACTTACTCAATCTGGCATCCTCTAACACAGTGGTTCTCAACCTGTGGGTCGGGACCCCATTTGGGGTCGAACGACCATTTCACGGGAGTCGCCAAACAATGTAGTCTGCCATTTTTTCCCCTTTTCCTTAGCTGTGCTACTCCCTTTTATTCTATTGGCTTTTGAAAGCCAATCGAATAGACTCTCTTGAATAGAGTCTAATTCTATTGGCTTTCAAAAGCCAATAGGAATTGTCCAGGCTGTCTCTGCCCTGCTGAGCCCACCAAAAGTCCCATTCTGCAAACGGTGCTGCACCAGTTGAGTCGTCCTTGACTTACGACCGGTTGAGTAGTCCTCGACTTAGGACCGGTTGGGGGTCGCAACATTAAAAAGGTTGAGAACCACTGCTCTAACACTTGGACTTGAATTTCCATGAAACTCTAATGTTAAATAGCAAAGACTGGTCATCTAAAACATCTGGAAGTAATTAGTGTGCCTACCTATAAACTACACAGGATTCTGGTAACACAAGCTGAATAATGAACATAAAGAAACTATACAACGGAACAAACTATCTGGACTTCTCAATTGCATCTCTTTAGAAAGTCAGATTAAGGTTCTTTTTGAATGAATTATAATAATACCAGTTGTGCTTAAGATGTGATTGTTATTATCATGATCATATATACACATTGTATTTGCCTTACCTTTACACCAGGGATTAAACAATATGTAAGTATCAGTGTCTGGGTTTCGTCTTGTTCTGAGAATGCCCATTGGAGTCAGCACTGCAACATACATGCGGAATTTTCCCACAATGCAGTCTGCAGCTGGCATAATATTCAAGGCCACAGAAGTGTTGGCACTGTGGGTGATCTTAGCACCCCATTTCCCACTTTTCAGCTCCTGAACCAAAGGAACACGGATGTAAGTGCCTTTGTTTTGTTGTGGGTATCGCCCTGCAGAAAAAGGGAAGAGAGTTTATTAACTTTGTGAATCAGTGTAGCAAATGAAAAGCTTCCTTTTGTTTGGATTGCCTAGCAAAATTTGGATTCACAATTTGGATATACTCAGGGGTACATCCACTATCCATTATAGCAAAAATAAGTAATGTATCAACAAGTATAATTTAGCTCCCTCTCTCTCTCTCCTCAAAGTGTTTGTCTTTAACACTTTTTTATGTTTCAAAAACAAACTTAACAAGGCAAGATTTTGTTTCATTTCCATACAATATATTTCTCCATCCTAGCACATTCCAGATTTGCAAAGATGACAGTTCCCAGAATTCTAAGCCAGTATCTGCTAAGAATTTTATGAATTTCCCCTCAACACATTTGAAGGACACAGGTTGGTCTAGGCTACCACTAAATAAGAAACGGAGTTTGGAGTATGGAGTAGTATGGTAGTATGGAGAACCATTTTGTTTTGACAGAACGCTGATAAAAAGAACCCAGGAAATATAGATCACAAAAACGTAATTTGTATTTTAATGACTTAACCCAGGAATAAGATGCTATCAGATGTATCAAAAGCAACAACCCAAGAGAGAGGACAGATAGAGTTAAGGATGGAATCTAAATATTGAATGCAAATTCATTTTTATTAAACATGAATGTTTTTAATACTGGGTTTCACTTGTGGTTTAACCAAATGGCAAACCGACCTACAAATAAAAGCTTCTGTGAAAGGAAAAGAAAAAGGCAACTTTCTATAAAGGTCAAGCCCACATAGCTAGCCAACTCAAAAAGTGAGACTACATCTGTTTATAATAAACATAATCTTGAAAATTGTGAAAGTAAGTCCCCAAGCAGGCTTAAATCAAACCAATTAAGATGGAGTCTTTTTGAAGCATTTCCTTCTCAGGTTCCCCACATCTGGCTGACCTGCCTCTTACACCAATTAACCCTTCTGCTGACTCCTACACTCTCTCACACTTGGGGAGAATGTGATCTGGGGTCTATTAAATGTATCCTTTAAGATTTGGTGTTAACCCATGGACTTGGTAATGCCTCAAACAGGCATGCTCTCCAGAAGCATCTGTAATTATAAGTCCTGATATGCTCTCTTAAGAGGGTCCTCTGCCTTTTCTGCCACTGCTCCTTGGAGTTGGCTTCCATGACTTTTCATTTCCTTCTGCTAATCATTCTTCAAAATTCCCCATTTTTGGAGCATCGCTCAGAGCTTGGCAATAATTTTTTCTTTAGAAGCTCAGATTCACCCTCTGGAGCTGATAGTGAAGAGTCAAGGATAGGACTCAGAGAGGTTTTTTTTTTTTTTTTTTTACTGATGTTACAGATATCATCGGCCCTAATTATAGAGATCAACTATTGTAAAATCATACAATCAATTCCGTTATTTGTAACAGGTGCAGAATCTAAATTTTATTTATATTTCTTCCATCCTTACATGGTAATGGGCTTCTTATAGTTTGTTTCTCAGTCTTCAATGTGGAGGGTCTCTGTACTTTGTTTCGATAATGCTCCTGTCTGACTTGGGCGCTTGCCCCCTAGTTTTGCCATCTTTAGCCTTTACACCAGGGGTCTTCAAACTTGGCCCTTTTATGACTTGTGGACTTCAACTCCCAGAATTCCTCAGCCAGAAACGCTGGCTGAGGAATTCTGGGAGCTGAAATCCACAAGTCGTAAAAGGACCAAGTTTGAAGACCCCTGCTTTACACCAACTGAGCCACTTAGTTTCTAAGTCCCACTGCACTAAATCTACTATCTAGTCTAAGTCCCTGCAAAACAACTAACCACTCAACCCAGTTATTATTCTCTCTGATGGGCCCCATCTCCACTGCTTTCATCTTTCATCTATTATTGCCTGTTCTCTTCTACTTTGTAAAGTTTTTCAGGGAAGGAGGTGGAAAGAAAGATGAAAAATAAGCCTCACAGACTGCATTAAGCTACATGTTTTGGCTTTAAATGTTACATAAACCCAGCACTATGATTTATAAATCTTGATTTATGGTTGAATGATTTGTGTGTAGCCAGGTGGTAGCTTATTCAGTAACTAAAATAAACCATGGGTTTAAAATAAACCATGGAAAAGGCCTCTGCCGCCTGAATATATGGCTGCAGAGCAATTTCATGCCCCCCCCACACCGATCCAGACTTCAGAGGCCTTTTCCAAGCCTTCAGAGCCTGGATCCATGGCTGCAGAGCAATTTTGCTGCTCCTGCACAGCCTGATCCAACCTCCAGAGGCCCAGAAAATGTCTCCGAAGCACAGATCTATGGCCGTGGAGTGATTTTGTGGCCCCCTGTGGCCTGATCTGAACTCTGGAGGCCTGGAAAAGACCTCCGGAGCCCAGATCTATGGCCACAAAGCAATTTTGCAGCCCCCCGTGGTCTGATCTGGGCTCCAGAGGCATGGAAAATGCCTCTGGAGCCCAGATTCATGGCTGCAGAGCGATTTTGTGACCCTCCTGTGGCCCGATCCAGGCTCTGGAGGTCTTTTCCAAGCCTCCAGAGCCCAGATCTATGGTCATGGAGAGATTTTGCGGGGCCCCAGTGGCCCAATCCAAAAAAGGCCCCCCCAGCTGCCCGATCTGGAAAAGGCCTCCAGACCCCAGATCAGGCCTCTGGGAGGGGGGGCGCAAAATTGCTCCGTGGCCATGGATCCAGGCTCCAGAGGCTTGGAAAAGGCGGAGCCCAGATCGGGCTGCAGAGGCCCCCGCAAAATCACTCTGTGGCCATAGATCCGGGCAGCAGAGGTCTTTTCCAGGCCTCCGGAGCCCTGATTGGATCACGGGGGGCTGTGGACGCACCCCCTGGCCTCAGATCGGAGTGGCAGCAGGAACCACGGCAAAGAGGAGACAGACCTTTTCCAGTGAGTGATCGGTGCCTCGGAAGCTCCCTAAAGCGGTTTCTTCTCCCCCCCCCCCAGCTCCATAAAGGGCTTTTGACTGGAGCCGGAGCTGTGCGTGAGTTCTGGCACCTTTTTTTTTTCAAAAAAAAGCACTGATTCTAGTTTGTACTAATATTATTTCTCCATTCTTTCAGTCTTTACAAATTATCCATGCAACTATTACATTCATACATATCTACTCAGTTTCTCAGTCCAAAACACATCACAATCAGCATAGAAATGTTCATATCCATTCATATTTTCAACTAGCAACCCTCTAACATTTACCACAAGCAGGGCTTTTTTTCTCATAGAATGGCCAGAATGGAGTTCCAGCACCTTTTTTGGATGGAACCTTGTAGGATAGGCAAGGCAGGTTGTATGACGTGTGTGAGTTCTGTCATCTTTTTTTTTTTTTTTAGGAAAAAAGCACTGATCATAAGCATTCCTGAAACAACTGATCCATATAAGCAACAAAGGGGACATCATATATCCTTGTCTTACTCTCTGACAGTTTTGGATCATTTGTTAAGCTTTCTTTTTATTCTCTCCATGCTTCACTTTCAACATATGCCACTCGTATCATATTCAGCAACCAACCTTTAACTCCAATTTTGTGCAAAAACTCTGCAATTCCTACCTATCATTTAAATCAGAAAATGTACAATATATTTTTTCTCATAAATATATTTTTCTCCATGACACTTGAAGAACAATAGTCTATTCTGCATAACCTACGACCAGCACAAAATCACAATGTACTTCCCAAATAGCATTTATTGTCATGTCTTGTACTCTTTGGATAAAAATTCTGCTAATATTTTCCCCAACACACCTAACAAATTAACCTCCCTTCCATTCATTCTTGCTACCTTTGCCTTGAGTACGATAATGGTATTCTTCCAATTGTCAGGTACTGGTATAGTTTTCACACATATATTAAACATGTTATACATGTCACTCCATAAATAAATCATGTCTATTTTTCAGGGCCATCACATATGGGTTCCATATTTTTATTTTATTTCCATGTAAGTTCCAGTGCCCTCCTGGAAATATAGATTTCTGATGCGATTCCTTAGATTTCCAGTATTGTTTCCCACTTCCTATTAAAGAATTAAAAGAATCTAAAAATAAAAAATAAAAACAAAATCAGACTGGGCAAGAAGCCTGGGTGGTTTCAAAAGGCTGTCAATGTGTTTATGTTTTAATTTTTATCCCATCTATTATACAGAAAAGATCAGAATTGTGCATGCTATGGTATACTTTGTGATACTCTATGGAAGTGGAAAGTTGGGCTTTGGCGAAGAAGGATGGGAAACTATTGACACTTTTGGACTTTTGGTGTTGCCAAAAACACCTGAGAATACCAAAACAAACTTAAAGCAAACAAAAACCTGGATCCATAAGCATTCTCACTCAAAACATATATGACCAGATGCAAATTATCCTACTTCAGGCAGATTATGGGAAGGCCTAGCTATCTGGAGAAGGCTCTAATGCTGGGAAAGGTAGAAGAAAAGAGAAGAAAAGGATGAGTGCAACAGGAAAATGGATTGCTTCAGTTACAGTAGTGCTGGTGCATTGTTGGAAGACCTGAAAGATATTGTCATGGTTAAAATCTCCTGTATATGTTCTTTAAAAAATAAACAGTGACAATGGTACATAATCAATCAATCATTATATAAATGGATCCCCAGATTAGCTGACACAAACTTCTGTGCTTTTGGGATTACCTCTGAAATAGCACAGTTTTGTAAGGGTCATGTCAAGATTCAACTTAATTCTCTCATACCTAAGTATGGTTAACTGTGAAGTGGGAGTTCCTGTCATTGTCAATACAGATTTATCTAACCTGCAGCTATAGAAGAAACATAGCAAACTACACTGTGCTAAGGCAATTAACTTGTGAAATGAAAATTGCTGAAAGCCACAGATCAGTGTGCCCAGGAAGCCTAGATTTTGCCTCATTGTTGCCTTTGCCTATGGCAGGGTCCTACATTTTTAAAATATTATGGAGGAAGAGAGGAAGATTTAACATAGAAACAACCTGTATAATACTGTTAGGTGTTTTTTTTAATATTTGGGTAGTTCTTCTAAATCTGCCTAGG